AGGGGATAAAGGGAGAGAAGGAATGAAGAGGAAAGGAAAATGCTGTATGAAGAGGGAACTTCTTATGTGAAAGACACCAGTATGGCCAAATAATTATTACAGGTGACATTTCATAAGACCTGCCAGTTGTGCCTGATGTTTATCAAAGTAATACTGCCAAATAGATAGCTATGTATCATCAGTTTTTATTTTGTTTAAATTTACAGAGTTAAGAATCTGGCAGGGTGGGGAAGGGTACTATGAATATGTCTCAGCAGTTAAGAGCATCTTTCAGAGGTCTTTGGTTCAGTTCAAAGCACCCACATAGTACATCTGTAACTAGAGTTTTGGGGGACTTGGTGCCCTCTTCTGGTCTCTGAGGACATTGCTCACACATGGTTCATCTACATACATTTAGGCAAAATACTCATACACATGAAATAAAAATGAATTTAAAAAGAATCTGTAGGGGCTGGAGGTGTAGCTCATTCGCAGAGTCCTTGCCTAGCTGGGGTTCTGTACTCAGTACTGCTCCTCCCCATCACCAAAGGTATTGCCATTATTTAGAAGTGGTTGTTACATTTAGCAGTTTTAGGCCAAAGTTCTTTATGATTGCTAAGAATCTCTGCTGCTCCTCTATCCCACTCCTTGTGCACATGCACATGACACATGTGTGCCAGCTTGTGGCGGGGGGCAATACATGTGTGCCAACTTACAAATGTTGCATTACCCCTTGTCCTGCTGGGGAATCTGGGCGGTTACTAGAGATACTCTTTCCTGTATATCCTTCTTAGGGTAGTTGAGATATGCATCTGTTCTAGGCTCCCTGGATTCTTAGATCATTTGATGCCTCATTTAAATGTTTTAAATTTTATGTTTCTTATAGAAAAGAGGACTCTTTTATCAGAAACATCCCCCTAGAACTCACCAATCTATAACTTAAATTGCCTTTGACCCTACTTTTGCAATAGCTACTGTGATAGAATTTCATGACTCCTAATAGATAGAAAGTGTAATGGAGTTCTGGGCAACATCTACCAGTCTTCCCACCCCCTGAACCCACCTTTAGTATGTCTGTATGGGTCAAGTTTACCTCAGTGTTAAAATATACCTTCTCTTTAAAACAACAGATAGGATTTACTCCTGAAAGCTAGGTAAGTCACTGTAAGCAGGTAGTGTTTTATTATGTCCACCTTACACTGGTGATTTGTGATACTGTTCAGTGAACCACAGTTAGGGAAAAATTTAGGTTGCCTACTTTTTTTCCCAGCCACCCAGGCAGGCAGGGGAGTGTCAAAGGGACAATGGTTGACAGCTGTAACTGCTAGTTTGTGACTGGGAGGACTAAGACCACCATACATTAGCAAAGAAGTACAAAACAGGGTCATTTGTAGTCACTCACTAGTGGGAACAAAACAGAACCTTAGGTTCAGAATCTGCATTCCTGTGTTACATAAATTATTCCTCTGAAAGAAGAATGATCCTTTCATTTTTCTTTGTTTTCTTTGCGATTATATAGTCCATTTTTCTCGATTTTGTACTGAGTTTTATTACTAAAAATAACTAGAATGCTTTTAAGAAGTCATTTCATCCTTCACCGAGATATGGTGTATAACTACTTCTTAAGTGATACATGAGGGTGTTTTAGTGCTTCTGAGACAAGTGAAGCATTCATTATTGCTTTTTTTCAACTGTTGTTTCCCTTGGACTTGTAGGATGTGGAGAACATCTCGTGCGTACAATACTCGCTAGAGAATGTTCACATGCTTTACAAGCTGAAGATGCTCACCAAGCTTTGTTGGAGACTATGCAAAACAAGTTTATCAGTAAGTATAACGTTACGAAAATGACACCATTCTGATATACAGAATTTCATTGAGCTATATACGTCATGAATCAGCTAAGCCTCTATACTTAGCTTAATCTTTGCCTGGCATAAAGTTAAACCTTTGCTTAGTATTGTTGGTAAACAGAAATTACATCATAGGAGCTACTACAACAAGAAATCAACTATTTAACTAATTTAGTGCCTAAGTTCTTAGTCATTGTGTAACATTAGAGAAACAAATAGTAGAATGAAATTCTGACAAAGAAGTTCAAAGGATAATATCCTATAAAAGATTTTGAAATGCAATTGAGTTCGTTTGATAAAGCCAGTGTTGTATGTAGCCTTCACTCAGTACTGCCATGTACATTGCACAAAATCAAGATGAAAAACTTCCTGGATACCTTTTGCCCAGACCTGTAAATGAATGTGCAGATCTGTGTGTGTGTGGGAGGAACAATTTTAGGGAAAAATTGGAGAAAAAATATCCTTCCCTCCTTCCTTCCTTCCTTCCTTCCTTCCCTCCCTCCCTCCCTCCCTCCCTCCCTCCCTCGCGCGCGTGTGTGTGTGTATCCCACATGTGTATGGGTGCCCTCAGAAGTCAGAAGAGTATCCCCTGGAGCTCTCCCTCCCTCCCTCCCTCCCTCCCTAGAAAGAGTGATGGATTTGAAAAGTGTTGGACTTAAATTTTAAGAGTGTAGATGTTGCACTCCTTTTCAGACACCATACAATGCATTAAGTGGGTGAACTCTAACAGAAAGAACTTCTTGCTATGATAAAGAATAGCTATAAGATGTAAGAATATAAGGGAACTGTTTGGTACCCTGGGGCTGAATGTGTTCATGGGTGGACACACTTAGATTTGAAATCTCATTGAAGATGTTGGTTTCACAGTCAGACTTTTCTAGAGCCGCACTAGGGTTAGTCTGGAATCAAACTTAAGTACTACGTCGTATTTCAGGGTTCAGATAGTGCAGTGGATGATCAACTCTAGTTGATCTGGTGGCTGGTGTGCAGTGGGAGCTGTGCCACTGAGGGTGAAGTTTTCAGACCACTCAGGTTGCAAAAAACATACAGAAGGAAGCTTGGTACATGACCCTCTGGGATACAGAAGCTTGCTGAGGGAGTACTGGTGGCACTTTTGGGCAGTCTGCTGAGTTCTAGTTTCCATGTTAACAGCTGTGGAAAGGTTATCATTAGGTCTATGCTGCAAGGTCCTAGATGGAACACTTTCTGTACCTGACCTGAGGCAGACTATTTCAGATATCTGTTTTAGTTACTTAATCTATTGATGTGATAAAACAACACGACCATGGCAAATTATAGAATGAAGAGTTTATTTGGCTTATAGTTCCAAAGAGATAAGAGTTCATCATGGTGGGGTCGCATGATTGTACTGCTTGTGTGTATGTAAGTGCACCTGTGTTGTGCAGTTCAGAGGCCAGAAGAAGGTTCCGGATCCCCTGGAACTGGGGTTCCAGATGGTTGTTATTCATCATGTGGGTGCTGGGAATTGAACTTTGGTCCTCTGCAAGAGCAGCCAGTGCCCTTAACCACTGAGCCCTCTCTCTAACCCTCCATGATGGACTCTTATCCCTCTGGAACCATAGACTGTAAGTTGCCTGGGTCATGATTTTTTTTTTTTTTTTTATCACAGCAACCAAAGAAAGTAAGTAGTACGGGGGGCATAGATCTCTTCTGTTCTCGAGTTCTCCAAATCTAGCTGGGAGTGTTTTGTTTCCTTTTTTCTCCCCACCCCTGTTAGCGCAGAAGAGGGGCAGAGACTCTTTAACAGAGACCACTCTTTTTCTTTAGTTTTACCATGAATTACACATCAGTTCCCCCTACCATTAGAATTCTTGTATGGGCTTTGCTAAGTATTTCTCTTAAAGCATTGTTTTTCCAATAATTCAGGTTTTACTCACCCCAAATACTTTTCACTCCAAAGCTGTCTCAATCTAGAATTTGCAGGAGCCCACTGAGAAGTTCAAAGGATGAGGCTCAATTCATCGATATTCACTGATAGAAAAAAAAAAAAAACCAAGGTTCATGGAATGGGAATAACACCTGAATTACTCAGAACCATAAGCATTGTCATGGTTAAAATTATCTTTCTCTGTTAGAAAAGAGAGTTTTCAGGCTCCAAAGAGAAAACAAGGAAAAACAGAATGAATAACTATAGAAAAAATTACTTCACTAGGAAGAGAGTTTGAACAGGTACTTTCTTAGATTCTTTATACTTTTGTTAATGAAGGCTTAGAGTAGATCCAACATTCTCCCAAGTCATCTAGATGGTGTTAATTGTCTGTACATTAATAAATGATGCTTGATGTCAGCATATGAGCTGAGAAATGGAATTATGAGTAGAACTCGAGGTCTAAAAATAGTGATTTTTTTTTCAGAAAAGATTATGTCCATGTCATGTCCTTAGATCTATCAAAATCAGACTTGGATCTTATTCTTTTGTTTCAGTAACTATTACTGAATCTTGTTTTTATGGAAAAGCAATTCTTGGCTTAATGACTCAATTTATATGATGTACTATTCGGTTGTATAGGTATGGTAGATATAGTCTCAGGACATTAATGGGAAGGAATATTAAGAAAACTAGAGGTTCATGACAAATCAACTTCCTAGAAGTCTTTTGATAAGTATCTAATTACAGCTCATGATTACTTCATATCTCTTGACTGACCTGAAGGAATTTATTGACTCTGAAGCCACAGAGTCACCAGTTAGTTCTACTTCTCCAAAGTTTGGGTCTAGGGACTCCCTAAACTCTACTCTTTTCTGGTGCTTTTTTTTTTTTTTTGTACTCTTCTTTTGTATAACTCTTTAAAGTTTTTCATAGAACTGGACTGTAGTATTTAATTGTGCTTTGGGGAATATTATTTAATACATATTGAATGCCATCTTAAAAATTCCTTATCAGCTGGGCGTGTTAGTGCACACCTTTAATACCAGCCTCAGGACGCAGAGGCAGGTGGATCTCTGTGAGTTCGAGGCCAGCCTGGTCTCCATGATGAATCCAGGACAGCTGGGACTATAGAGAGACCCTGTCTCAAAAAGAAAAAAAAATTCCTTATCAATTGAAAGGAGCAAGTGAATTGAGAACTCAGCTAACTGACTGCTTATTTAATAGTTAAAGAAACTTATTTTGTAAGAGTTCAGGGACTCATCCAGTGCTATCTCACTAGCCAGTGGGTATTTTGTTCTATAAATTTGTGTGAAATATAGAAGAACATTGTCCTAAGACTCAGGACACCTGGGTTCCACTGAATTCAGTGTCTCCCTCATTGGATATAGCAAGTTTTTGAAGGGTTTTATCTCTTTTGAGAGTAAGCTTTAAAATTCCTAGAGCATGCTAAATTCCCTTGATTCTCTGTTGGATTCAGTCCTTAAATGTAAAATTCTTTTTAGTCAGTTGATTGGGAAATGGGATTAGGAAATGAAAAGTTTCAGGAACCACTTGGGAAGCACATATGATATTTACGAAGTACTTGGAATGAGATAAATTATATTTACTAGAAGCCTGGACTAGGAGCAAGGAGACTGCATTCTTTCCTCCTTTAATGCACTGATGACATAATTAGTATTCTGTCTAAAGCAGACCATTCTCTTTGTTCTCTTTTTCTTCTTTGTAAAATGAGGATACTCATGGTCTCTAAAATCTTTCAAATTCTAAAATTTTATTTGATACTTGGGTTAGTTCATAGACCAATCTAAATTACTTCTAAAATGTGTAGCTATACATTGAATAATACATTATGTAAA